CTCGTTTATTTGAGTTCAATCTGAGTTGAATAAATATAGGAAACAATCACATTGTGTTAAAGGAAATCGGTATTTCCTTTAGATGGTAAATGTTTGTTCTGCCTTATATTCTTGTTGAACAGACACTAACTCCTGTCATTCCTAACCCCGTCTGCAAAGACCATACACCCCAGTACAAACACACCCACACACATTCGGGCATGTGATCAGAAGAACAGAATACATAAAGCCTGTCCATCTACCAGTCAGGCGATGTCTCCCTGGGCATGGCCATTCCCACCCCTCTGCAGCTTGAAGGCAGATGGGTTCCTTAGGGGCCATTGAGACCCTGCAGAGACTCACCTTCCGAAGAGGAGTGTTTTCCTTGGTTTACACACTCACAGGGTAAGGTTACACTTTCCAACTCAGGGATGAATTAAAAAACATTGGAGAGGTTTGGAAATTTCTCTTTTATTTCAATCTCGAAAAAAGGAGCAGACAGACTTGGGGGCCAACTGGTGAAGTGAGGTGAGGTGCGGAGTCATCTTCTGTCCCATGTGTCTCTGGGAGGGTCAGCGCTCTGGTCCAGGTCAAATGAGCCCGGTTAGCCTGTCTCATCCGTCCTGATTGTGCCTCCCTGTCTCTCCAGCACCTCTACCCTGACGCACAAACTCAAGCTCCTCTCTGATACTGCTGTGTATTTTCCAAATCTCCCCTCTCCCGTGCCCCCTGCCAGGTTGGCCTCTCAGTCAGCGATACTCACATGACTGATGACCTCAGATTACTCATGAGATGCTTACAAAGGGACAATCTCGCTGCAACAGCTGAGCACAAATTACAGAGAAAGGCCCACAGTCCTCCATGGAAGCCATGCAGACACTAACAGGAACGCCGAAGCCCAGTGCCGAGATTTGAAATTCCCTCAGCTGCAAAGGTCAATTTGGTTTAAGGGGTTGTGTGCAGGTCCCAGCAGGAGCCCTGATAGGGAATCTTGATTTTGGTCTTGTTCACTTTTCAGTAGACTCTTGGTGATGAACAAACAGAAACAAACAAAACCAAACCGAACGCTGGCATTGTCTCTCTGCTGAGAAAGAGGAAAAGGGTCACCGGCAAAAATAAATACAAAAAATAAAAATGAAAAAAAGAATAGCAAGGTGTCCAGTGTGAACAATGGAAAGTTTTAACCCATGACCGAACTAGAAGAGTTGCATTCTTCTGTTTTTAGTTGGGGAGGTTGGGATGCCAGGGAGCTCCCAAGGGGCAGTGATTGAGCTGATGGAAATGTGGGAAGGAGCACTCCGGGGGTCCCACTAAGGCTGCAATCCAGGACACACTGGGAAGAGAGTGTGTTTGTGGGCAGTGTGTTACAAGCTGGGATATATGCGAAAGGATAAAGGATGCCATGAAAAATATCTGAAACATATTAGTGGGTAAAAACAGCATAGCATGCTAGGATAGCTGGACATCCGCAGGCAAAATGTGAATGTGGCTCCCTGTATCATGTTATCTAGAAATAGTAGTATACAAAGGGGATCGAAGAGCTAAACATAAGAGTTAAAACGGTAAGACTCTTTTTCTTTTCTAAAGACTTATTTATTTGTTTGAGAGAGAGAGAGAACCCAAGTGGGAAGGGCAGAGGGAGAGGGAGAGAGAATCTCAAGCAGACACCGCACTGAGCACAGAGCCAGATGTGGGGCTCGATCCCATGACACTGAGATCAGGACCCAAGCCTTTGAAACTGAGAGATGGGCGCTTACCTGACTGCACCCCTCAGGCACCCCAAAACTGTAAGACTCTTAAAACACAGGTGTAAATCTTTATAACCATGAGTTAGGCAATAGTTTCCAACATATGACACCAAAATCACAATCGATCAAAGAAAAATAGAATAACTGGATTAAAACATTTGCCCACCATAGAACACCATCAAAACTGAACAGACAACCCACAGAAGGGGAGAAAATATGTGCAAATTCTATATCTGATAAAGATCTACTACCCAGAATATATAAAGCACTCTCACAACTCCATAGTAAAAAGATAAATAACTCAGTTTTTTAAATGGGTAAAAAAAATGGTTCAGCATTTCTCCAAAGGAGATATGCAAATAGTCAATAAACACATGAAAAGATGCTCGATATCATGAGTCAGTGGGGAAATGCAAATCAAAACCAAAATAAGATACCACTTCACATTCGCAGGATGGTTATAATTAAAAAAAAAAAGAAAGAAAAGAAAAACTAACAAATCCAAGTGAAGATGTGGAGAGATTGGACCCTGATACATTACTGGTAAGGGAACAAGCACTATGGAAAGGAGTCTGGCAGTTCCTCAAAAAGTTAGACACAGAGTTACCACATGACTCAGTAATTCCACTCCTAGGTATGTACCCAAGAGAGCTGAAAACATGTTCACACCAAAACTTGTACCTGAATGTTCATAGCAGCATGATTCATAATTGCCAAAAAAGTGGAAGCAACCCAATGTCCATGAACTGATGGATGGATGGATGGAATATTATTTATCCAGGCCACCACATGAATGAACCTTGAAAGCGTTATGCTAAGTGAAAGAAGCCAGACACACAAAAATAACATAAAGGTATGATTCCATTTGTACGGAATGTCCAAACACGAGAGTGGGCTCCTGAGAGTGTCCTTGAGAGGGTTTGATCCTTAGTTCCTTGTACTCTGTCAACACTTATATTCAACTTCACTTTTTGAAATGTGTTGTTGTTTTTTTGTGTAGGCTCCACACCCAGCATGGAGCCCAACATGGGGCTTGAGCTCACGACCCTGAGATCAAGACCTGAGCTGAAACCGAGAGTCGGGAGATCAACCAACTGACTTATCCAGGCGCCCCTCAACTTCACTTTTTAAGCTTTTCTCCCCTCCTGTGGGTTGAATTGGGTTCCCGCAAAAAAGATATGTTCAAGTTTTCACCCGCAGTACCTATGAATGTGACCTTATTTAGAAACAAGGTCTTTGCAGGTTTGATTGTTAAGATAAGACCACTTGGTCATCTCAATCCACATGACTGGTATCCTTATCAGAGGAGGGCAATGTGGCCACAGACACACACAGAGGGAAGACAGTCACATAAAGATGGAGGGAGAGATGGGACTATGCTGCCACGGAACCCCTGGGGACATCGGGACCCGGAAGAGGCAAGGAAGGAACCCCCTTCTGTCTTCACAGGGAGTATGGCCCTACCAACACTTTGATTTTGGATTTCTGGCCTCCAGAATTGTGAGAAAACAAATTTATGTCTTCATAAGCCACCCAGTTTGTGGTACTTCGTTATAGCAGCCCTAGGAAATAATACAGTTGATGTTTGAACAACTTGGCGGGGCGGGGGCGGGGAGGGTTAACAGCACTGACGTCGCCCTCACCCACAATTGAATATCTGAGTATAACTTTTTTTTTCCAGATACAATTTAAAACAAAATTTATTTAAATTCAATATCTGAGTATAACTTTTAACTCCCCCAAAACTTTACTAATAATGGAAATGGTTGATTAACACATATTTTGTATGTCATATGTATTCCACGCTGTAGTCTTACAATAAAGTAAACTAGAAGAAGAAAATGTTATCATAAGGCAGGGACACCTGGGTGGCTCAGGTCTACCTTCGGCTCGGGTCATGATCCCGGGGTCCTGGGATCGAGCCCTGCATTGGGCTCCCTGCTCAGCGGGGAGCCTGCTTCTCCCTCTCCCTCTGCCCCTCTCCCTGCTTGTGCTCTCTCTTTCTCTCTGACAAATAAATAAATAAAATCTTTTAAAAAATCATAATGAGGAAAAATACATTTACCGTACTATACAGTATTTATTTAATTTTTTTAAGATTTTAGTTTTAGGTAATCTTTAGGCCCAACATGGGCCCCGAACCCACAACCCTGAGATCAAGAGCCACATGCTCCACTGACTGAGCCAGCCGGGCGCCCCACATAGTACTGTACAGTATGTACTGAAAAAAATTCACATAGAAGTGGACCCACGCAGTTCACACTCACGTTGTTCAAGAGCCAACTGAACATCCTTCATGTTGTGATTCCCTCTCGTTAACCCTGGTCAACATACGAGGATTACATGTTTGTGCCATTGAAGGAGATGAAATGGCAGGTCGCACATAGATGTGAGTAGGCAGGGCAGTAAGGGAATGCAGGCTGCCCCCGTATCACTCTCCTCTGAGGATGTCCCAGTGGTGGCAGTAATGACCTAGGGAGGACATCAGACCCAAAGGGGTAGCTGTGGATCAAAACCGAAGCGAGCTGAGCCCCACTGTGGAGCTGGGTGACATTCAAGCACAAGGTGATCAAACATGTGGACAAATTGGAAGCTCCTGGAAAGATACCTGCCCTAACCCTAAATACATAGTGGGATGGGGGCTAGGTGCCTGGTTCCTACCGTTCTGTAGACAGGGGCTATGGAAGTGGCAGACCCTGGAGAGGTACAGGGTCATCTCCAGAGTTCTCATCAGGAACCATGGACATCAGAAGGAAGTGACAAAGCATTTTTCAAGTGTTGAAAGAAAAGGACTGACAACCCAGAATTCTGTTGCCAGAGAATATGTTCTTCAAGAATAAAAGGGGAATCATGACATTCTCAGGTGAAGGAAAACTAATTAAGGGAATTTGTCACCAGGAGACCTTCTCGAAAAGACTAAGGAAGATTTGAAACAGAAAGAAACAATAAAAAGGAACTTGGAACGTCGGGAAGAAAGAAAGTAGCAAAAATGGAGGTGAATGGACTCTCCTTCTCCTGAGTTCTAATTATGGTTGATCATTGAGGAATATATTACAACACTGTCTGATAGGGTTCTAAATTTATGTAGAAGAAATAAATTCAACACAATTACATTGTAGGGCGCCTGGGTGGCTCAGTCGTTGGGCGTCTGCCTTCGGCTCAGGTCATGATCCCAGGGTCCTGGGATCGAGCCCCGCATCGAGCTCCCTGCTCCACAGGAAGCCTGCTTCTCCCTCTACCACTCCCCCTGCTTGTGTTCCCTCTCTCGCTTTGTCTCTCTCTGTCAAATAAATACATAAAAATCTTTAAAAAAAGACAATTACATTGTAGACAGGGAAGTTTCAATGTTCTGAAGAGGGGTTAAGTTCATATACTTCACCCTGGCTGGTAAAATGATAATACCAATGGACGGTGGTACCTAGAACAACCACTAAACCACTAAATAGCTATTCAGAAAGGAACACTTTAAAACAGTGTTTTTTAAACAGTGTTTCTAAAGTGTTCTTTTCTGAATAACTATTTTAGTGGTTGTTCTAAGTATTATGGTACAAAATCAGACACACAGATCAACAGAACAGAAGAGAAAACCCAGAAATGAACCCACAACTATATGGTCAAGTCATCTTTGACAAAGCAGGGAAGAATATTCAATGGGGAAAAGATAGTCTCTTCAGCAAATGCTCTTGGGAAAATTGGACAGCAAAATGCAAAAACATGAAACTGGACTACTTCTTACTACCCTACACAAAAATAAATTCAAAATGGATGAAAGACCTAAATGTGAGACAGGAAACCATTAAAATCCTAGAGGACAGCACCGGCATCAACCCCTTTCACATTGGCCATAACAACTTCTTACTAGATCTGTCTCCCGAGGCAAGGGAAACAAAAGCAATAATATACTATTGGGGACTTCCTCAAAATAAAAAGCTTCTGCACAGCAAAGGAAACAATCAATAAAACTAAAGGGTAACTGACAGAATGGGAGAAAATATTTGCAAGTGACATATATCCGATAAAGGGTTAGCATCCAAATTATAAAGAACTTATAAAACTCAACACCCCAAAAATGAATAATCCCATTAAAAAACAGGCAACAGGCATGAATAGACATTTTCCCAAAGAAGACAGATGGCCAACAGACCCGTGAAAAGATGCTCAACATCACTCATCATCAGGGAACTACAAATCAAAACTACCATGAGATATCACCTCACACCAGTCAGAATGGCTAAAATCAACAACACAGGAATCAGCAGGTGTTGGCGAGGATGTGGAGAAAGGGGAATCCTCTTGCACTATTGTTGAGAATGCAAACTGGTGCAGCCACTCTGGAAAACAGTATGGAGATTCCTCAAAAAGTTAAAAATACAACTACCCTATGACCCAGCAATTGCACTGCTAGGTATTGACCCAAAGAATACAAAAATACTATTCAAAGGGGTACGTGCACCCCGATGTTTATAGCAGCATTATCAACAATAGCCAAATTATGAAAAGAGCCCATATATGTAATAGAATATTACTCAGCCATCAGAAAGAATGAAATCTTGCCATTTGCAACAACATGGTTGGAGCTAGATAGTATTATGCTAAGTAAAAGTCAGAGTCAGTCTCAGTCAGAGAAAGACAAATACCATATGATTTCACTCATATATGGAATTTAAGAAACAAAACAATGGATCAGAGGGGGGAAAAAAGAGAGAGGAAAACCAAAAAACAGACTCCTAACTATAGACAACAAACTGATGGTTACCGGAGGGGAGATGGGGGGTAGGGAGTTGGGTGAAATAGGTGATGGGGATTAAGGAGGGCGGATGAGCACCCGGTGTCGTATGGAAGTGTTGAATCACTAAACTGTACACCTGAAACTCATAATACACCGTATGTTAACTCGTTGGAATTTAAATAAAAACTAAAATGAATGAATAAATATAAAAACACTATATTAAAATCAGAATAGAATTACGAAATTGTTCAAGTGACCCACAAGAATGTAGAGGAGAAAATAGAGAAGTGAAAACTGGAGAGAACAAAGGAAAAAACAAAATAAAAATGGCAGACTTATGCACTAACACCTCGATGATTAATTCTATTAAATGTAGGGATCTAAATTAAAAGATAGAAACTGGAGAGTAGATTCAACCATGTGACCCACGTATATGCTGCTTCCCAGAAAATAATTTCAGATGTTACGGTAGAAACCAGTTGAAAAGAACAGGGTGAGAAAACATAAAGAGTGCAAATATTAAACATGCAAAGGAAAGAAGGAATGGCTATAGTAATATCAAATAAAGTGGACTTCAGAGCAAAGAAAGTTACCAAAACCAGAGAGGGACATTATGCAGTGATGGAAAGGTCATTCCAGCAAGAAGACAAAGCAATCCTAAATGTGTATTCCCAAAAACAGAACTACAGAGCGTGTGAGGCAAGAACTGAAAGAATCGAAAGGAGAATTGAGGAATCCACAATTCCATTTGGAGACTGCATATCCCTCTCTCAACCACTGATAGTGCAATTTTGAGAAAATGAGCAAGGTTATGGGAGAATTGACCCCATAACACCATCAATCAACAGGATCTAACTGATACTGATAGAAACAAGCGGAGCCGACACATCCTTCTCAAGTGCACATGGAACACGGACCTAGATAGACCACATCCTGGGCTCCAAGACAAATCTCAACAAATGTAAGAGAGTTGAAATCGTATGGAGTGTGTTCTCCGACCACAGTGGAATCCAGCTAGAAATCAGTAATAGAGAGGTACCAGAAATGTCTTCTTCTCTGCCCTAGCAGCCTCATGATTCCCTAAACCATCATGGGAATCTGAGCAAAGGCCTTATTGATGGCCCTCCAGTGTCGAATTCTAAGGCTGAAAGGGGAATTTTCTGGGCTTGGAAAACACTCAAGACTCTGTCACTGAAGGATGGAAAAGTAAGTGGTAAAGACCCATTTCCTCTTTTTTTCCTACCCATTGCTAAAGCCAACCTCCTTTGCTATTGAAGAGAAGAGGGGAGAATACTTTCCCTACTGCACGTCTGTCCCCGGCCCCAATACTCACTCCTTTTCCACTTTGAGCACAGATGACTTTGCTCAAGAATGGACAAACCCAGTGTCGACTCACCCTGGGCCAGCCTCTGCCCATGCTCCGGCTTGGCCAACCCTCTGGGCATGATCAGCTCAGCTATGTAATTTAGCCCCTTGGTGGAAATTCTGATGGCAGCTGCCTGGTCGGGCCAGACACCTTCCAGGCTGTGTGAGAACAGGCCTTCCAGGATGCTGGGCACACCACGGCTCACAGCCCTGGGGCACTGGCAACAGTCTCTTCCATCCACTCACGGGGATGTCAGGGACTCCAACTCCACTCACACAGGAGAAAAACGACTCCCTTTTTTTGACAAGAGAGGACCCTGAGGCCCAGAAAGCTTAGATAGCATGCACCAGGCCACCCTGCCTACCAGACCTGGAACCATCATCTGAGTCCTACAGTTCAGCTTCCGTCTGTCCCTCCACACTCCTCTCCAGACCCCATCCCAGCCACTCAACGATGAGACTGTGGGAAATGTGGAAGTGAAATCTCAAGTCAGAGTTCAATGGGAAGAAATCTGAATTATGAAACACGATTTCTCTTCCCTTATCTTGCTCAGTTTTCAGGAGAAAAGGAAATAATACACCCTGTTGCAAAAGGACTGTTGAAATCTCCAGCTATAACCATGGATGTGTCTGTTTCTCCATTCACTTCTGCCAGTTTTACTTCTTTAATTTTGAAGTTTTCTTGTTTTTCTGAAACTCGGTTACTTATGAGGTGCATGCGATGAAGGACAGTTGGAAGAAAGGCAGGCAGGGACAAGGGGCCCCCCGCCCTAAGAGCAAACCACTTGTAAGAGGATTTTACACCACCCTGGAAGGAGCCCTCCACCCTTTCCTGTGTGATAGATAGATGACGGAAACCTGATTGGATGACAGGCACAGGGAGGGTTAATCAGATTAAAACATCGAGCCAACAAGCCCATAAAACCCCCTAGACTTAGAAATTCCGGTGGCAAGCCTCTCGGGTCCCCTCCCTCTTTGAGAGCTTGTACTATTGCTAAACTCAATAAACCCTTGCTCTGCTGTCCACCACTCTGCCTGGTCTCCCTCTTCATTCTTCGAAGGGGCGTGACCGAGAACCGCGGGCACCGAAGGAGAAAATCCTTTAACACACGTACTTTCAGTATTATTGTGTCTTGTTGATGAATTAACCTCCTCATCCCTGGGAAAGGTCCTTCTTTATCCCTGGAGGAGAGATGGGGTTGCTCTGAAGCCCGTTTTGTCTGATAGCAATATAGCCACTGCAGGCTTCGTATACTTCATGTACGCTCTATCTTTTCCAGTTCGTCAACTTTAACCTATCTGTGTCTTTATATTTAAACCCAGACCTTTTGAGTTTCTGTGCAGGCTTCGATGCATAGTCCTGATTGACTAAGTCGTTGGCCATTGGCTGATTCAACCTCCACCCCTCATCTCTCTGGTCCTGGGAAGTCTGGCTGGGACTGAGAGTTCCAATCCTCTAATCACCTTGTTGGTCCTCTGGACAACCAGTGCCCCACCTTGGTGCGTCTGAAAGTCGCCTTCATTAACATAACAAAGACACCTTTACCACCAGTATGACAGAAAATTTCAAGGGGTTTAGGAGCTGTGAGCCATGAACCATGGACAAAAACCAAATACATATGAAAAATATATTTTGGTCATTTGATCAAATACATATGTTTTATAATTCACAGTATTACGGGATGGGTGGTAAATAATAACCTCGGTTATTCCATCATGCCCTGAAACAGAAGACCCCGCCCACCTGTCTTCTTTTGCAGAGTTATCTGTGGAAGACACCGGACATCTGTACTATTGACTTTCTCACATTCTGAACTTTGCTGTTTGCATCCTCACGATGTCATTTAATATGATCCTCTGTCTCATACATTTCTGTAAGTTGGAACTTAGCTGTGGTTGGTTGGATCAGACGCATCAGAATCAAGTTCAGTATTTTTGGCAATGTTACTCATAAACAGTGCCCTGTGTTTCCATCAGGGGGAACTTAGTGATGATCACTGAGTAAACCATTATTAAGTGTTCCAAAATGGTAATATTCTATTCTCCTATTTCCTTTCCAATATGTAGCTAGAATTTTGTATTAGGATATGCTTTCCCTCTTCACTTACTTAGTAACCTGAAGTACAGTCTATGCTAGAAATGCAGGATCAATGCTTGATAAACACCAGAATAAATTACAAATGAATAAAAGATTTAAATGTTAGCACAAAGAAAAAAGGTCCAGAAGGCAACAGAAAAGTATTCCACCATAATTGATCCATGTGGAAGGTCTTTCTAAGTATGACTCAAAAACCAGAGCACACAAATTTATGGATTCATATGCCTACATAATAGCAATACTCATCTACATTTAAAAAACAAAGTAAAGGGGCGCCTGCCTGGCTCAGTTAATGGAGTGTGAGACTCTGGATCTCGGGGTTGTGAGTTCGAGCCCCGCACTGGGTGCAGAGATTACTTAAAAATAAAATCATTAAAAACAAACAACAACAACAACAAAAACAAAGTAAAATTTGAATAACAAACTAGAAAATAACGTTTATAAGCCATATAATAGACACATGACTAATCTGCCTAATAAGTAAAGTTTCTGGGAAATTGAAAGGTAAGGGAGCAGCAACCCATTGTAAAAATGGACGAAAGAAGACAGCAGAAAAACATATGAAAAGATGCCTAATCACACACATATGGAAAGAAATGCATATCAAATTGCATTCAGATATGATTCCTCCTCCATCCAGTTTGTAAAACCCAAAAGTATACCTCTGACGGATTTTAGCCATGGTCATACGCTTAGAAAGACAAAAGAGTAAGCGTGTTAGTAATTTTTGAACTGCTATTCCAGATGTCACTGTTTCCATTCAGAATGCCAAGGAGCCCCTTCTTTCCTCCATAGTTTTGAATAAAAGCATATACACACAGAGAATGGAGTCATTTGGGCAAACTATCACCTTTGCATCCAAAGCACAGCACCCCTAGTATGCTGCGGTAGAGAGTGTAGCAGGAATCAAGGTCAAAATGGAGCTCCCCAAACCCTCTCCCTGAATGGAGGCAATTGGGGCCAGAGTGGACCCTTAGTCAGGCCACACCACATGAGACCGAGAAGGGTAAACCTGAAGAGGAAGACTCACCTGAGTCAGCCAGAAACAGGCCTTCTTTGGTCAGCTGAGAGTATGGACACAGGAAGCCCCAGGCAGGAGATGCATGGGTCCAGGGTGACCGGGAACTGAAGCGAGGGGACATGGAACTCATTTCTTGCTTTGAGGCAAAGAAACTCTACTCCAGTGTCTGGAAACAGTGGATGTCAGGCTTTCCGCCAACTTCTTTCCCCCAAATTACTTCTATTTCTATGAGAAGGAGTGAATATTATGCTCTTCCCAGAGAGTGGAATTTAAATATTCTCTCCTTTGGAAATTGAGGAGCAAGAGATTCTCCCTGAAAAGAGTAGGGGACTCATAGAATGCTGCTTTTTAAACAGTCTCCCTCAAAAGCCAGACTGGAGGAGAAGACCCCACGAAGGCACTGCAGTCCACAGTCTAGCTGGACTCCCAGCCGACAGCCTGCATCCGCTCCTGGCCTATGAGTGAAGCATCTCGTACATGGCAGCTTAGCTGGGACACCACATGACTGCAACTCCCACCAAGGTACACGAGGTAGAACCATCCCAGAAGCCCAGTCAACCCAGTTCTTGAGAGGTAATGAAATGTAGGAAATGTTACAAACCCATTATGACCATATAAGATTATATATGACATGAATAAATTGGCAAAAAAGATCAGTGTTTTTATATTCTCCCCAGGACCTCCATCATGCAATGTTCCTGAAAATAAGACTGTGCCTTCTTTAACTGAAGTAAATCTGTACCTTTCTTTGGTCGCTATCATGAATCTTTAGCCACTAAGTGTCTAAGACCAGTAAGGATTCAGAGCTTCAGGCGAGTTGACAATAGCTAGTACAGATGTCAACAAAACCATTTTCTCCTGTGGATGACAAACATTCTTCTACACCGCACAAATGAACAAAGAGCCACCGTGCAACTACCAGAAGATGACCTGAGTGACGATGACGTTGGCCTTCCCGCCAAACTCTTGTCAAAGCAAAAATTTGCTTGGTGCCCTGTGCTCTGTGGTTGTAAATTTCACATTGGAGCTGGTTCTCATATCGCAGCCCACTAGAGCTTCCGCATAGCCGTTCTAGTACTGCCTGGGTTTGGAAGACAAGGAGACACATGGAGCTGTGTGGTGTTTAAAAACACAGACTTATTGGGGTGCGCCTCAGTGGCTCAGTCACTTAAGCGGCCGACTCTTGGTTTTGGCTCAGGTCATGATCTCAGGGTCGTGAGATCGAGCCCTGCATGGGGCTCAGCACTCTGCTGGGGAGTCTGCTTGTGGATTCTCTCTCTCCCTCTGCCTCTGACCCCTCCCCCTGCTCGCACGCTCGCTCTTTCTCTATCCCTATCTCTAAAATAAATAAGTAAGTAAATAAATAAATAAATCTTTGAAAACACACACACACACACACACACACACACACACACACACACACAAACTTGTTTCCAAACCAGTGGCCTCTAATGTTACAAAGTTTGCTTGGGGTCCAGATAAGCACAAGATTTTGCATTATACGAGCGCCTTCCTGCACAAGAGTAATGTGCCATCAAATGCAGAAACATGGTCATTTTCTTAGCAGAAAGCTTCAGATGTAGTATCTCCGGTGAAATCAGTAACTTCTCAAGCACTTCCAGGCAAAATCCCCAGTGAAGAGCCAATATGGGAATGCCTTTTAGAACCCCAGCATAAGAAACAAACAAGTCCCTGCTCTCAACCTGCATAAGGAGACACTCAGAACATGAAACGACGAGAGCAAAGTAATGACCCCTTATCGAAAACAGCTCCTAAAAGACAAAGAAAGACTGAGGCCAAAAGCTGCAAAACAAGATCATAGCACAAAACATCTCTCAGCCCACATCACAAGACCCTGAGAAAGAGTGAAAAGCAAGAACCTAGAGAAGGGATTGGCAGCAGACAACTGAAATAACAAGCAGAGATGAGCAAACAGCTAGGAAAAAAAAAATAAAACAGTTGGAGAGCATTCCAAAAAAGACTGCCCTTCTCCAGGAGCGGGAAGATTTAGATTGGAGTCTTTTAAGTATTAGTAGAAAACAAGCGGGATACCGAAAATAAGTGCCAATGTATCTTCTTGCTGAACCTGATGGAGTTCCTTGCACATTTTTTGGTCCACACTCAATATTTATCTATACTTTATCCAATATTCTAAATATGTGGGAAATTGTTAAAATTTAAATTAAGTTTATTAAATTGACTTTTCCTACTTTTCAATAATATGCAGGGCAGGGTGCTGGGGGGGACGCTGGTGAGGGGCTTTTTTTCACCAAAGCTTGGCAGACTGAAAAAGAAATGTCATTATTGTCCACAGGGTGACAGGATCTCATATACATGAGTAAAGCATGTTTAAAATTTTTTTAAAAGAGAGGAGAGCGAAGCGAAAAAAGTGATCAAAATGAGAGAGGAAGGCTGTGGGCTGACTCTTGTACTCTGCACAGTCTCCAGTAAAGTTCCTAAAATTAAAAAAAGAAAAAGCTGAATATGATAATTGTGTTTGAATACAGTTTTTTAAAAAGAAACAGTAAAAACACTGTGCTTTAGGCTTTCAGGGGCTCAGGCTGAAACAGAAACGGTGCATAATTTCATAGAAATGAGGAAACAGAAAAGGCTGAGGAAAAAGTGAAGAGAACTCTTAGAAATAGTAGGGAGGACTTGGAGCCCTCACATATTATGTAATGATGGCTTGGACCAAATTTAACCAATTCATCGAGGACTGGGGGATAGTTAACTGACATCTGAGTGACAAATTAAAAATTGAGGGCCTTGGACAGATCAAATATTAGGATGTAACTTAACAATAAGGAGTTTCTGTCACCAAGGATTTTACAATGTACTTGGGCATATAGACAAGAAATAGTAAGCCATGGATCTGGGTATGCACAGAATGTGACAGAATCAAATAGGAGAGGGGCTTAAGCCATCCTTGGCTGGGTCAGAAAACTTTCCTTAAGAATATGAGATGTGGGGCCCCTGGGTGACTCAGCTGGTTAAGTGTCCAACTCTTGATCTCAGCTCAGGTCTTCATCTCAGGGCCATGGGTTCGAGCCCGGCATTGGGGTCCTTGCATATGAGATGTACGATGAATCATTAAATCTAAGTGATGGGTTGGAGCGGTCATCCACAGCACGAGTGTGTGTCTGGGGAGGCGGGGAGGGCTGCGGCGGGAGGCACTGCAGGCAGGAGGACAGGACCCTGGGGGGTGACTAGAGGAGTAAGAATTGTAGGCAGAGAGTTACATGGAGGCCACAGTATGAACAGCGTTGCTTAAACTACCAAGGAGTTTGGACAATTGTGAAGCACACCACGATTATATTTCTTCCTAATTTATCGAGTGTTTTATCATGGGTGTTGGATCTTGTCAAATGTTTTTTCTGCATCTATTGAGAGAATCATGTGATTTTTGTCCTTCATTCTATTAACGTGGTAAAACCCCCAGGTTGATATTTATATATTGAACCAATCTTGTATTCCCAGGGTTAAATCCCAGGTATACGTATTTTTAGATGGTGCTTACTTCTCATAGTCTACACTTCTTTTTATAAGTTGCTGTATTCAATTTGCTAGTATTTTGTTGAGGATTTTAGTCTAAGTGCTAGTATTTTGTTGAGGATTTTAGTGTAGTTGAGGATTTAGTCTAAAGAAGGTCTACACTTCTTTTTATAAGTTGCTGTATTCAATTTGCTAGTATTTTGTTGAGGATTTTAGTGTGGGCCTCAATGGAGTGTGTCACCGTTTCCAGGGTAGGTAACCGGGGGAGGAAGGGGATGAGTGGCCAGCAGAACCACAGTGGTGCCCACAAGAACCTCATAGCCCAGAAGAAATACAGAGGACCATCCTCCAAACAGGAGGATGGTCCAGCCCCTGGTAGACCTGGCAATGTTGACAACCTGAAGACATGGTGACCAGTAAGCCTCAGAGTCGTGCCTGATGATAATAGTGTCTTGTAGGCAGTACCCAGCAGAGGACTCATATCAGGAAAAGAAGAAAAGCAAGGTAAGTACCACATGGCAGGTCCCAGAAGTTTTCAGGAGCTTATAGAATTCATCCTTTGGGGAACCTCAGAAATATACCCAAGGAAAACAAACCAGAACTTGCAGGGGCTCTGGAGGGCTGCAAAAGCAGGAAGAGTGAAAGCTAGGAAAACATTCACAACGTAAATGACCTCATTTTAAATTACTGTAGCCTTAGTACAGACAAATTACAAATATATTTCCAAAGGCTATGTTTGGGGTATAACACCTGACCCGGGCTTGACCCCTTTTAATCTGGGGGTCAGGAAACACAGGCCCGCCACCCTAACATCCACTAACATTTTTGAATACAGGTTTAAGTGAGAAGAGAAAAACAGGAAATGTTGGTAGCTGAAGAGCAAAGTGTATCATGTTATTCACAGGTAGATTTCACACCGATCTGGTGAGTACATCCTGTGTCTATTCTCAGAAGTAAATGTGAGAATTATGACCACGAAGTCTTCTTGTTAGCATCTCATTGCCTCTCCTGGAAAACTGGAAGGTGAGACATGCTGATGTCTCAGTCTGCCGGGGAGAAGCATAATATGGCAGTAGGGAAGGCTGGACCAATGGGTCCATGGCATCAACCACTGTAACGATGGGATAGGAAGATGAAGTTTTTTTCAGATTTTCTGTCTTTTTGTTATCAGCACACTTCTTTGTTTTTTACTCTGGAAGTTAAACTCATCACAACTGCCACATTCTGCACAAGGTCTTTCTCAGGGCAGGAAGAGCGAGAGGAGGAAGTGAAAGGGGTCACCATGAGGAAGGGGAGGCTTGGGGGGGTAGTCTGGGGACACTGGATGACCCCGTGTGACAAACAGGTATATACACAATGCATTAGTTGAACAGAAACACTGTGAATAAGGAAAAACCACCTCATTAGAAGTTAACGCCTCCCACTCTCTAATCCAAAGAGAGCTACAACATCTGGACACCACATTGATCCATTGTATCCATTGGGTCTCTCAATCTCCGTACTACTCACATATTGGGCCAGATCATTCTTTGTTATGCAGACTGTCCTGTATATTGTAGGACATTTAGCAGCATCTCTGGCGAGTAGCACCCCCCTGCTGTGACAACCAAAAATGTCTCTAGAGGTTGCTTAACCTACCCTGTGGGGCAAGGTCATTCTCAGTTGGGAGCCACCCCATTACATCAATGATACTTCACTGAGCAGGCAGGATGAGAAATTCATAGCCAGCATTTAGTGGCCTTGCTAAGACACATGCACTTGAGAGTCTTAGAGTCTTACCAGGGTCTCAGATCCTTCAGGAACAAGAGTGTGGGTCACACAACAGGTAAACACGGCCATGAACAGAAATGAAAGCTGAAGGCAAGGGGAATGGGAAGGAGCGGTGGAAGAGGAAGACCGTGAGTTGCATGCCGCCCAAGATAGAATGCAGTGACGAGAGCCGCAGTTCATCCTAGAAATCTTCCACTTTTAGTTGCCTCACAGGAGGAGAGACCCAGTGGAACCCTGCAGGAACTGATCTCCAAACATATATGGAGAAGAGGCTCTGCAGGGAGCAAGCATGCCAGCCAGCTGTGACAGCTACAAAGGTGCACCACTCTCGAAGGCTCTTCCTTCAAGAAAATTTAGTCAAGTAATCTTTGACAAGGAAGCCAAGAATATATGGGGAAAGGATCGTCTCTTCAATAAATGGTGTTGGGAAACTGGATACTCACATGCAAAAGAATGAAACTGGACTTGTATTATTCAAAAATTAACTCAAAGTGAATTAAAGATTTAAGTGTAAGACCTGAAATGGTAAAACTACCAGAAGAGAGCTCAGGGAAACACTCCTTGATATTGGTCTGGGCAATGATTTTTTTTGCACACACATACACACACAATAATAATAATTTTTTTGCACAGACAACAAAAGCAAATACAGACAAGTGGGATAACATCAAAGTAAAAAGCTTTGGCACAGCAAAAGAAACAACAAAATGAGAAAGCAACGTACAGAATGGGAGAAAATATTTGCAAATTATATATCTGAGAAGGAGTTAATATCCAAAGTTTATAAGGAACTCAGACAACTCCATAGCAAAAAAAAAAAAAAAAGCCATCTGGTTAAAACACGGGCAAAGGACCTGAACAAATATTTTTCCGAAGAAGACATACAAATGGCCAGCAGAGACATGAAAAGATGCTCAACAT